CTGCCCAGGGAGGTTGTGGAGTCCCCTTCTCTGGAGATTTTCAAAACCCACCTGGATGCAGTCCTGAGTAATGTGCTCTGGGCAATCCTGCTTCAGCAGGGGAGTTGGACTAGATGATCTCTAGAGGTCCCTTCCAACTCTGAAAATTCTGTGATTCCCCGTAACTGTAGAAGAGAAAACATTTTTTTTCAGGGTATGACAAGATTTAAAATATGGAAATCCTTGAGTGAGAAATACTTCAACTTGTGAAAAGTGGACATTACCAATGCTATGTAACCAAGATATGGCTTAGAAAGGCCATGAAAATTGCTTCTATAACTATTGCTTGAGAGCTCACTTAAATCTAACTCAACACCCTGAAGACTTTCCAGAAGGAGCTAAACGCAGTAAGCATAGACAATTAAGTTCATCAGTAGAAGCTGCTTTTCTCTTACAACCAAAGAAATCACTTACTGTCAAATACCAAGACCACAATGTAATTTCTAGTGCTCATCAGCCAAGCAACACAGAATCATTTAGGTCGGAAAAGACCTTTAAGATCATCAATTCACACTGTAAACCTAACAATGCCAAGTCCACCAAACCATGTCCCCAACATATCTACGTATCTTTTAAATACCTCCAGGGATAGTGACTCAACCACTTCCCCAGACAGCCTCTTCCAATGCTTGATAACCCTTTCTGTGAAGAAATTTTTCCTAACATCCAATCTAAACCTTCCCTGGCATAACTTGAGGCTGTTTCCTCTCATTCGATCACTTGTTACTTGGGAGAAGAGGTTAACCACCTCCTCTCTACAGCCTCCTTTCAGGTAGTTGTAGTGAGTGATAAGGTCTCCCCTCAGCCTCCTTTTCTCCAGGCTAAACAACCCCAGTTCCCTCAGCTGCTCCTCATAAGACTTGTGCTCTAAACCCCTCACCGGCTTCATTGCCCTTCTCTGGACATGCTCCAGCACTTCAATGTCCTCCTTGTAGTGAGGGGCCCAAAACTGAATGCACAATTCAAGGTGGGGCCTCACCAGTGTTGAGTACAGGGGGATGATCACCTCCATAGTCCTGCTGGACACACTATTCCTGACACAGGCCAGGATGCTGCTGGCTGCCTTGCCCACCTGGGCACACTGCTGCCTCATATTCAGCCAGCTGTCAAACAACACCCCCAGGTCCTTCTCCACCGGACAGCTTTCCAGCCACTCTTCCCCAAGCCTGTAGCACTGCATTGGGTTGCTGTGACCCAAGTGCAGGACCCGGCACTTGGCCTTGTTGAACCTCATACCATTGGCCTCAGCCCATCGATCCAGCCTGTCCAGATCCCTCTGCAGAGCCTTCCTACCCTCAAGCAGATCAACACTCCCACCCAACTTGGTGTCACCTGCAAACTTACTGAGGGTGAAACATGGTATGCCCACCTGAATCAAAGCCTGGTTCTTAGAGAAAAACTGTTAGCCACCAGTGTTGCCACGTAATTAACTGTCAACATGAAACCTCACATTCTTTAGCATTGCCAGCTTAGAAAAATGCATTGAAGAATTAGTAAAATATGTCAACATTTGGGAATCTTAAGCTGTTTCTCACCTGATAGGGTCAAGTTCTGCTCTAGTAGTCATTCTCTCCTTGGGGAAGACGACTTAAACTGCATTTTGATAGTTTCCCCTCTTCCACCATCCTTGTCCAGCGTGACCTAAATTGTTCTTTTCTGTCTGCTTTCTGTCTATTGGTACAGCCTATTCTTCTACACAATGTCAATTCTGCTGGCTTCATGCTCTACAATGACACTTATAAAGCAAAAAAGGATAAACCAAGACACATGATTTCACACTGCATCATTGTGGATGACCATACTCGCTTTCAGAAAGCAAAACCATAACAAGCAATAGAAATTTAGTCCTCATGACGATATAGAAGCATGTTACTCATCAGTAACCACTCCCGTGTTAAAAATGTTTATTCAGCTCCAAATGTTGTGTCTTTCCAACAAATGCGAAACAGCTTTTTGGTGGTAAATAGCAGGTATTTATTTGAAATGAAAAAAATACTTCAGTACCTGAACTATTGCATTTAATCATGTATTGTTGTAATTGTGTTACTCTACCTTTTTGCATTGGAGACAAATATACAATGAACATTCAGATATCACAGATTGCACACTAGATAGTAAAATCGTCAGGCCTTTTACGTAACCACCAAAAAACAGATATTGGATTCTGCAATATAGTACAAAATTCCACACTCCAGTCTTAGCCAGTTATCTTCAATTTACTCCTGATGCTGTACAAATAAATGGCCATTTAACTAGGGCTTACAAGTTAATAACAGGACAAAAAAAATATACATTGCACTGACACAAAAAGTCAGCTGTGTTAATAGTCATGCAACAAGTAACCAAACTTGCTGAAATTAAAAATACTTTCTAAAAACAGTTTTAACTGCATAAATATTTTATACACAGTCCATTTACTGAAACAAAAGGAGTCTTTAAATGATACAAAGCAAATATAAGTTTCTACCGATTTTATACATAAGAAAGTGCAAAATAACTTATCTAAAGTGTTTTGCTATTGAACTGATGAACGTCGGCTGGAGGCAGCCAACCCCCTCTCAGAAGCATGACATTACAGTTGCACACTACATACAAATGTTAAGAGTACGTGAATAAGTATACTACAAAGAACAAGGCAGGAGAAGACATGTGAGGTACTTGCAGAGAATACAGTCTACTAATGTTAGTGTACATGAGTATATTTTTGCTCAACAGATTTTTACATGGAAAACAAAGCAAGTATTTGCATTAGAAGCTTGAAAGAAACGGAAAAAAAACCCCACTCCCAAGTGAACAAAACAGTTGCCCACAGCACCAGCTGCCAGAGGAAATATGAGCAGGTGTGTTTTTTCCCCTCCACCTCCTACAAGCAAGAACGTGGTTTTTGGAACAGTGCAACCGAAGAATTAAGTCAGAGGGCTGTGGCGATTTGTTTGCAAAACATAAATTGGGACTACCCTCTACACTACAGAATTTGTAAATGATAACGACCTTGATGATTTAGTATGCTGCCAAACATCAAAAGCACAGACCACCACCCGTACAATGTGCTTATGCAGCTGAACGCAGTCGACTCCCTCTTCACTGATGGCCCACTATCTTCATGACCCTGCATTAGTACTATATGCCAACTGTCTGCTTTAGTGTTTAGATTATATCAGTGTTATTGTCATAAACCTTGTTTTTATTAGGGTTTAATTATGTGGCTGTACAAGTTCCAGTCCGTAGAAAAGACGACTTCTTGAAATTTGGTTTTGATTTGAAATCTGGAGGCAAGGGGAAGAAAACTCTGTGGACTCAAAGGCATTTGTAAGTTGTTAAAATAGCCTTTTCTTCAAACTGAAAACGTTAAGGCCACTAGCCTGTCTTCTGAACTATGCTGGTTTCGCATCATTTTGGGAAGGGTGAAGGCAACGTTAGAGAGAACACAGAAATTCCAGTGCTCCGCACATGCTTACTGAGGAGCTCTTCTTGTTTTTAGGGACAAATCTGTCCGGGTAGCCATGCAGCGTGGCTACTTGATCATCACTCTTTGGATCCAACAGGATCTATTTGGGTCAGATAATCTCAACAAACCTGCATTTACTCAACAGTGTGCAAGGGCTCTAGAGAAGCCTTTCTGTTCATTTGGGGATTTAGTATACATACCAAAACAGGAATATATCTCATTTTACAGACCAGCACATACATAATAAACAAACATGTATCAAAATACGTATTTAACCTTCAGTGCATAAACATATGATACCAGGGTAAATAGTACGTGGTCAGGATTAAATTATTCACCGCCAGAATCTCAAATCAAGAGAAGACAGGTCTGCCCCCACCCCTGCAGTGCCAAGGAACCTGCTGGAAGGAGCTCACACCACCACCACAGTGGGTCTGGCATTTTCGATGGTACAATTCAAACAACAGCGCCGGTTTTAACCATTTGCTGTCAATATCATCTTGAGTGAAGACACTCACTGAAGTACTAGCAGAGCAAAAGCAGGGCCACCTATCTTCTGTTGGTTTGGGTCGTATCCTTACTGCTATTTAAAAGAATCTGTTGTGAATATACCTACATCTAGATCGGTTTGTCACCCATTTACAAAATATATACACATACGTTAAAAAATAAAACCAAACCAAACACCAGCCTGCCCCCTGCCCTCCCCCCCCCCCCTCCCCCCAACCCACTGGCAAGACCTCATTCAGAAATTAAGTCCACGGGCCTATCCCAATGCACATGTTCCAATCCCAGTGGATTATCAGTGTCTCTACTTCATCCCTCATGTAGTGCAAAATAAATGATAGAGTAGTAAAAAAATACTGCAATTGAATTCATATCGGAACTTAAAAACCTCAATGGAAATCTACTGCTGTCCTCAAGTTGATGCCATGTGCTGAAACATGAAGATAGCTCTTCGAAGCATTTCTGACATGATTAGTATCACCCCGTTTTAGAGCAACGCCTATTGTTCCAGAAGTTTGGTTTTGTTTTTTTTTTGCAAACAAGCTACAGGACAACAGCAGTTAAATTTTATGCACAAGGAATTAATTCTGTATCTATATGCAAGCCAATTGCCATTGACTAAAGTAGTTAAAAGCTGGTTCTTGCACTGCATGAATCAGCTGCTAATGAACATTAAGTAATTAACAAAACTGCAGCTCTGACATATGTATAAAAGAGGCCTTATTAAATATGAACAACACTGAGGTGGTAAATAGTTTGGTATAAAATGCAACACAAGTGTACAATCTAGTTCCTGGTTATCTTACAGCTAGAATAAAATACTCCAAGTCCTATTCTGAAAAATGTTTTCTTTTGAAAAAACCCATGTAATTCCATGAATAGCCTTACTTAAATTAAGATACTGTGGGCAACTGAAAGAACAAACATGCACAGACTGGATTTTTAACAGAAATACGCATAATGCCTTCGAGTTTTCTGTTTGTGTTTTTTTTGTCTTTTTTTTTTTTTTTAAACATTCGTATTTAAATTGATAGATGAGATAAAGATGCCACACAAAGTATAGTGGTTAATCTGAAGTCCCATGTAACAGGCAGTTAAGTTCATATTTAGATAAAAAGGCCATTATACCTATTTACAATATACACAGTTGCTTGCGAAGAAGGCAGATTTACAACTATCTTCTAAAAAGCCTTCCCCTCTCCCTCCCCCCGATAAAGATGACTAGCTCTACAAAAACAAGACAAGAACGGGTGTTTAGAATAAGTGAGGATTTTCTCGATAGCCACGTCAACATAGGTTTAGGGGTTGACAGTTCTATTGGATTTGTGGTTATTAATCATGTCTTCCTGGGCTTTGCTCTTCACTTAATTATGCTGTTAGCCTCATTTAGCTTCTGTCAACACAAATCAATTCAATGATCCCTTTTTGCTTTTAGTGCTTAAAACTCAGTATAAACTTAAGTGTAAACAGACAATATTCTAATCCCTTCTGATCACTGCATGATACTCTCCCACGGTGAGGCTGGATGGGGTCTCCGTTTGCCAGGACCCCATCAATTTCTGGGCCCCTCCTCTGAACCCCGCTCATGCTGCAGGTTGTAGAAGCAGTTCTGGCAGACTCTGACTGGTGACGAAATCTTCAGACGCTTGATTTCAGACTGAAACCTACTGCACCTGTAGAGGAAAACAAACATAGCTCTGAACACAGGTCCTCTCCTGACCTGGCCATTTTCTATCCAAGTATGGAAATTATCATTATGACTTCAAATACCAGAGAACTGTCCAAACTTATCTTGACAAGGAAATGCAAGACACTGTAGCAGAAGCAGAATTTAACAGGTATGATCACCACAGAATCCACACAATGACTCTGTGTGAGAGGTAGCTTAAAAACAGCTTTTGTCACCAGTTTAGACTCAAAGTATAGCTACAGAGATGAAACTAGAAATACCATGTCTGACCCAGTCGACCAGAGAAGAGACTCCCACCTCAGTTCCTGGGTAAGGGGATCTCACGTGCATCCCGTGTGTCTTACATTTCCCTGCCTGAGGCTGCGTGCTACTGGCTCCTAAATCGGCATCCTTACAGTCCTGCATACAGTTCACATTTCTGCTAGGTTGCTTGTAGAATGACAAGAACAACTAGTGGCTGCATAAGTTTGTTTGTTTGGGGTCTTTTTGGTTTCTTTTCTTGTTAAGTTCATTTGTCTAGAGTTTTTCTCAGATGGGCAACGGGGAGGTTTTCAAAGACACAAGCAGATTTCATTCTGTCCTGATACCTGTTTTGCTAACTGGATTTATAAAGGGGTTGGTCTCTCTTTTCTAATTCTTCCCTGGAAGTTTTGAGAGAGTTTTGATGTTTTTTCTTCATCAGTTCTATTTTGGTAAGGGAAACCTCAGTTTTTCAGCAAAGTTCCCTGGCATGCAACAGCTTTACCTAGCCTAAAATTCTGAATGGAAAAGAGCCCAAAGGAGACTCTTGGCTGGCTTACTTCTGGCAGAAGAGCTGTCCACAGTTCCTGCAATGGTGACGCCTCTCAGTGAGTGAAAAACGGACTGCGCAGCCTGAACAGCTGTCTCCCCCCTCGTCCTTCACCCAGTGATCAGCTGCAGATCGGCCAGGCTGATCGCTTACGGACCAGCTGAACACTCTGCCTCGACCATCCCCAATAAGAATTCTGCTGTGATCCCTGCAAGAAAAAAGCAAAAGCGTTCCGGCAACAACTCTGGCACAGTAATGCGCAGACATCGATGACCGATTTTACATGTCAGAATACGTAACATGTTAAACTACTGGCATAGCAACTAATGTGCAAATTAGCCTGGTCCGACTGAGAAACAGAGCTATAACAACACTCTATGTAGCACAATGCAGCTGAATAAGTCTACTGATTTTAGTATTTTTTTTATCTTGGTCCTTGAACGAGGCTGCCCTAAAAGAAAAGCACCACAAAACAGCATTATGCAGAGAACAATGGCTGG